AATCTGAGTTCCTCATTGGGAGACATTGCACATTTGAACCCTCTCATCTCCTTGCCCCTATCTGAAAGTAGTGTAAGCACTGGCAGCAATTTTCTCAGTCATTCTCCACATTCCTTTAAGCTAGTTTAACCCCATGGTCCAGGGCCTCAAATAACATCAACATAGAGAAAATGTCTGTCTACAGTCTGCTAAATGTTACAAGGAACCCTGAGGTATGACTTGCATCTCCTCAGTGAAGGTGAGCTGTCTCCCCTCTGTGACAGCATTATTGCCACATGATTGGTGTCATGTATGGTCTCCACCCAGAGCCCTACCTAGAGGTCTCCATGCTGGATGATGCCTCTGGGGTTGATGACTTCCTATGGTTAGTTCCTCCAGATTCCAAGTTTTGCGTGCTGTCCATGCAGGTCAGCAACACCAGCTTCTCCCCCTCACCAATGTGTCTGTCCCCTTTCCTCCTGAGTGTCCCACTACTGGGCCATGGAGGGGCTGGAGAACCAACGGGTAGAGAACAGGGGTGACTGTGTATATCTTGTCTAATGACTGTCCTCCAGGTTGATTTCAGGAAATTTGTCAACCTTAAAATAGCTTATTTTCCCCATCACTAGTTTACAAGTTCTATTAACTGAAGGAAAAAGTAGGAAAAAAAGAGAAGGAGAGAAGAGAATTAGTAAATTAATCAACAGTAGAAAAGTACTGTACGAAGCTTATTTTACAGTATAGGCACTACACAAGGGAGTGGTAGGAACATGAATAAAATCAGGGTTCTGTGAGGAAGGGAGAAGGAATGGAGGGATGCTGGTCGGGCAACCAATGGAGTCCACTTAATTAATGGTTCCTGAACAGTTTCATTAAAAGAAATGGGCCACCATGTCCTTCTCTCCTCCACCCCAATGTTTTACTAAATCTTAACAAAACAATAAAAATATTTAATTATTTTGATCATATTTATTTTGCCTAGCTATTAGACATATGAAATACAGTTGTATCTTTTCATGTTGTCTGCATATTTTACAAAGTATGTTGTGGTCTCTTAGTTCAGCAATGTGTGATAGTCTATATATTTATCTAACTCCTTTCTGAGGAAGGAAGTATGGTATCAGAAAAGAAACATGGATCTGGGAATCAAGAGACTAGGCCTATAGCCTTAGCTTTTCTGAGTTAAGCAAGTGATCCTGAGCATGTCCTTTCCTCTCTCTGACCTTGGCTCACCTGTGAAATAAAGAAAAGATTATCAAAGTCCTTGCCATCTCTAAGATTCTGTCTTTGAACATATTTCTACTATATTATAGATTTATAGAAATTTGTATGTTTTTATGGAGTCACTGGGTGGTGCAAATGGTTAATGCACTCAGCAGCTAACCAAAAGGTTGGAGGTTCGAGTCCACCCAGAGGTACCTCAGAAGAAAGTCCTGGCAGTCTACTTCTGAAAAATCAGCCATTGAAAACCCTATGGAGCCCAGTTTTACTCTGACACACACGGGGTCATCATAAGTTAAAATGGCCTTGACAGCAACTGGTTTTGGTTTTTGATAGGTTTTTACTTATATTTTTGCTTTTGCTAAATATTTTGGGTCCTATTTATAATTTTTTTGAGTTTTCCGGCAGAGGCAAACTCTCAATTATGTTGTTTTGATAGGAAAATATAATCCATTAGCCATAAACCATGTCACATCATGATTTCCAAGAAGTACTGTTTATGCCAGCAGAGGAAGCCTATTGTATACAGTTTTCAGTGATTGCCCTCAATATTTTGGATGAATGGATGGACAAACAGATAGTTAACTGAATGAATAAATGTTCTAGCTGTCTAATAGTAGGTATAATTCATAGGTGACACTGAGGAAATGAAGTGGCAGGTGTATGCTTTGAGCAGTTAAGGACATTGGACATTCTCCCTATTCTAATAATAGACCTGTGGCTGGGTCTGCAGCTTGAGTCCACATTAGCATCACAGTCTATATGCCAGCTTCCCCAAGGGTTTCTGGCATTTTCATTAGACTCTCTGCTTTCTTTCTATTAACACATCTGAACAGTAGGTTGCCCTTCCGAAGAGAGGCCAGTGACACTTTTTAAGTCTGTAACATCAAGGAAAATCACTGATGATAGATACATTTCCCTGGTCTCTTTTCCGTTAAGGACTATGAGATTTCTAGGTCGCTACTAAAGAGTTGGAGTTCGTTTGCTTTTTATACAATATACCATATATAAATAAATACACATACAAACACACACATCTTAAGCCAGTTACCAAGTCAGTAAAAAATTTAGATGGTTAAGAGCAGCAATGAATTATAAATGGCTCTTAAAATAAATTTTAATCAGGGAAAAGAGCCTTTTAAAAAAACAGTTGTGTATTTTGGCCAGTGAATTAATATGATCAGATAGTTGTGTTTTAGTATTTCATTATTTGCAATTAATATAGAAAGCCCAACTGACAAAAGCTAATTCTAATATTCCAGGCCAGGAATCACTCAGAAAGGACACCGCATATGCTTCCTCATACTCCCCATTCATTTGAAGAGCTACACTGTCAACACTACATTGTGATTGTTGCTTTAGTCGCCACTTCCTGCAGCTGCCATCTGGCAGATTAGAAGGGGAAAACGCCTATGGTGATAAACCCCGAGGGCCTCACTCCAACCCTTTTGGAAACAGAAGGAAATGCTGGGGACTCCAATTAGAGACCCAGGCACCACTCATAAAGAGTAGAAGCAGCCTTAAAGAGAGCAGGACATCAGTCTGGAAGAAGCCAACCCTCCACATGCCATACTCCACACTCACCATTAGTACCCTCCTTTCGTTTTAGAAGAGTATCCGTGCCTTTCTGTTTTTTATTGCCAATCTGAGTGTCCAACACATGCTGCACTATTAAGAACCTAAGATTTCTGCCCTACATGAGTCCTATGAGTCTACTCATTTATGAGGGTCAATGTAAGGAGCTCCCAGGAGAAGATGTGGCAGTTGTTTCCATAAAGATTTACAGCCTTGGAAACCCTACTGAGCAGCTCTACTCTGTCTTACAGGGTCGCTATGCATCGGAATCGACTCAACGGCAGGGGGTTGGGTTTTTTTGGGAGGTTTTGATGTAAGGAGCAGGAAGCCCTGGTGGCACAATGGTTAAGTGCTCAGCTGCAGACTGGAAGATCAGCGGTTCGAACCCACCAGCCAATCTGCAGGAGAAAGATGTGGCAGTCTGCTTCCGTAAAGATTACAGCCTTGGAAACCTTTGGGGCAGTTCTACTCTGTCCTATAGGGTCGCTATGAATTGGAATTGACTGTAGGGCATCTAACAACAACATTCCATCCTGTAATACGTGGAGTCTCTATGGTTGGAATCTACCTGACAGTGACTGGTTTGGTTTTATTGTGCATCAGGGGCAGAGCTAAATGCTGGGAAGATGAAGACAAATAACATAAGATCTTGCCTTACAGTGTTTAAAATACAGTCGATTCGCCCTCTCTCTCCCCTTCTTCTATGTTTATCTGTCTGTCTCTCCCTCTTTCCCTCCCCTCCCTCATCTGTTTACTTTCAATTAGTGTAGCCTAGTGGTTAAGAGTGCAGGTTCTGGACCCAGACTGGATTCGATTCCCAGCTCGACCTTTTATTAGTATGTGACTTGGACAAGTTACTCAACATCTCTGAGCCTCTGTTTGTTTATCTGCAAAGTGGGCAAAATGATAGTTCCTACTTTGTAGAATTGTTGTGAGGATCAAAGGGGTTATTATGCTTATATTAAATAAATAGGACGTAATAGCTATTATTAACACATAATTTTCTTTTGTTGTGTTATCAAAGGGAACTATCTCGTATTTCATCTCTATTAAACAATCATAACTAATATTAGGAAAAAAAGAGGAAGTCCCTCAACGAGATGGATTGACACAGTGGCTACAACAATGGGCTCAAGCATAACAACGATTGTGAGGATGGCACAGGACCAGGCAGTGTTTCGTTCTGTTGTACACAGGTTTGCTATGAGTCAAAATCGACTCAACAGCATCTAACAACAATTAAGCATGTTAGAGAGGCAACATTAGAGCAGTAATGCAATGTCAGAAGATAGGTGAGGCACCTTAATTGGAATTCTAAATGTTGCTTTAATTAATAGAGAAATTAAATGTTTCTGTATACATTTTTTACCCCTTGTGTCATGGGAAGGTATTCTGGAGTCTCTGGATGTGGGTGTTTCTTATCATGTATTTAGGGACATTCAGGAAACATTTTAGTGTCTGTTTCAGAGAAGAGGGAACTTATGCTTTCTTAAAAAATTGAATTACCTTCATTGTTCCCTCTGATTAAAAGAGTAAGGCACGATCATTATAAAATTTTCAGAAAATATAGCAAAGTATAACATAGTAAGGAAAACATCACTTGAAATCCCAACCAAAATAACCACTGATATATATATATATATATATATATAGAGCCATACATTTTTATGCACGTATATTTTAATAAAATGTTAACGATAAAAGTTAATAATTATTGAGCACTTACCATGGCCAGACACACTTTTAAATGCTCTACAAGTATTATTTAATTTTCACAACAACCCTGTGAGATGAGCTACCAACAGTATCCCATTTTACAGCTGAGGAAACCAAGGCACAGAGATGTTAAGTAACTTATTCATGGTCACACAGTGTTTAGGGGGTGGAGCCAGGAAGGGGTAGAGCCATGATCTAGAGCCAAGCAGTCTGACTTCTGAATCCATGCACTAAACTACTAGACTATACTGCCTTTCCAAACTGCACATGCCATTCTTCATTTAAAAAGATATTGCAAAGTTCTTTCCGGGTTCTTAATATACATCGATTGAATTTTTTTTAGTAATTTAATAATCCTTATGCTCCTTAGAAGTGAGGATGGCGAGACTTCGTCTCATGTACTTTGGACATGTTATTAGGAGGAACCAGTCCCTGGGGAAGGACATCATGGTTGGTGGAGGGTCAGCAAAAAAGAGGAAGACCCTCAGCAAGATGGATTGACATAGTGGCTGCCACATTGGGCTCAAACATAGCAACAATTACGAGGATGGCGCAGGACCAGGTAGTGTTTCTTTCTGTTGTATGTATATATATATATAAATAATTTTAACCAATCTACTATTATGGAACACTTAGGCCATTTCCAACAGGAGTAAGGTGGTCCTAATCCCATCTGAGTGGTGTCCTACAAAACAGGAGAAGAAGCACAGAGAGACAGAGGGAAGACAGCCAGGTGAGAACAAGTTATGCTACAGTCCCAAGCCAAGGAACATCTGGGGCTACCAGAAGCTGAGAGAGACAAGAAAGGATCTTCCCGTAGAGAGTTTCTTAGGAAGAGAATGTGGTCTTGCTGACATCCTGAATTTGGACTTCCAGCCTCTAGAACTGTGAGACATAAATTTCTGTCTAACAAGTCACCCAGTTTGTGGCATTTTGTTATGGCAGCCGTAGGAAGCAGATACCCCTGGAAAGGCAGGGAGATGGTGAGAGCTGGGGGGCTCCAAGCTCCCAGCTCATGCTCCATTGTCCCATTCGACTTGACTTAAAAAACACAAATTCAAAGATAAACAAGAATTTCAAGACGGCGATCCCAGAACTCAGGCGTGCGAACCTACCTTCTGAGCACAGTTGTTGTTGTCGTTAGGTGCTCTGGAGTCAATTTTCAACTCATAGTGATCCCATGTGACAGAGTAGAACTGCCCCGCAGAGTTTTCTAGGAGCCCTGGTGGCACAGTGGTTAAAGCTTTCGGCTGCTAACCAAAAGGTGGGCAGCTGGAACTCACCAGCCGCTTCTTGGGAGAAAGATGTGACAGTCTGCTTCTGTAAAGATTACAGCCTTGGAAACCCTATTGGGCAGTTCTACTCTGTCCTGTAGGGTCGCTATGAGTCAGAATCAACTCCACAGCAGTGGGCTTGTTTATTTTTTTTCGTTAATCTTTACTGGCAGATTGCCAGGTCTTTTCTCCTGCAGAGCCACTGGGTGGGTTCAAAGCACCAGACTTTAGGTTAGCAGCCAAATGTTAACCATTGCTGCACTGGCGGCAGGCCCATGCAGCCGGGCCTGCCCTGGCTCCTCTTTCTCCATTGGAGCCCCTCCTTCCGGAGCCCTGGTCCGCACACACTGCTCTGTGCTTATCTTTCTTCCTGCTCGTCTCCTCTCCCTCCAGCCCACTACCACTAAGCTGGTCAAGATAAGCACAGGCAGCCAGAAGGCAAGATGAGTTGCCCTTTCTCTGTGAGGTTGGCTAGATCAACAGAAGTGCATTCCACTTAATTACCAGGAGAAATTCTCAAGGATTGCTTTTGATTCTATTCCTAGAACCAATTAGCCAGAACCTTTCATTTAGACGCAGCTTGAAGATGCAAAAACAAATAACTATGGTAGTGTATTTTAACAGCTTAAACGGCTCTGTTTGTTTAGCTTAAACAGATGAATAGCTTTCCAGAAATACACAGAAGAGAACTCTGGCCTGATGAATGCAGAACAAGGACAGCTGTGAAGTCACCAATGAAGCACCATTTAGGCGCCACTTACTAATGAGTTGTATTTTGACAGAGAAAGAAAAAAAGTTGTTAAAATAATGAAAGTCAAAGCCAAAATAGAAACCTTCCTCCCATCTACCTTATTTTATGAGTTAACAGCTGGATTATCAGTTTGGAATATGAGCTAGTTGACATCAACGAGGAGCAAGTTATTGCATTTAATAAGGGAAGGTTCTGTCTCAGAGTTTTTTGACTTTACATTTAAATAGAAATCATATACACGGGATACTTTTATAAGTGTGTGAATGTAACATTTGCTTTTGCTTTCATAAAGATATGTGTTAACTGTGAGATAAATTCATATGCATAAGAGCCATATTTAGAAAGCAGTTTCTACAAATAGGCAGGTAAGCTGCTCCACTCCAGAGAACACAATTAAAAGCGGTGCTGAAAATATATGAAATGAATTTTCAAATATGTTCTTGAATTTTAAAATTATGGATTCAAAATACGTTCACAAAATAATCTCATGAACTTCGAATTCAAGCAAGGATTTTAAAAATTAGTTTTGGTGTTTTCTTACCTTCCATCTGTTCAGTCAAAGAGGTTTTAAAAATTAGCTTAATTGCTTTTCCACCTACAGAGCCTAATCTTAACACAGGTGATTTTGAATTACTTCACTAGCATTGTAAATCCTACAGCAGACTTTTCCCTAAACTTGAAAGACCTGTCCGTTTGCAGGTGAATAGACTGATCAGACAAATGGCCTGTTTCTGAGTGACACTCAAAATAAAGATTACTCACAAAATGAAGACCCTTAGCAGTTTTGAAAGTGCCTAGAGGTAGTGCACTCCAGTTGAAAGAGGACTCAACTGCGTTATTCCAACTCTGAGGACATTTTAATTTAACTTTGGAAGGAAGCAACATGTGCTGCTAAAACAGTGCTGATGACAGGAACCAGGGACGCAGAATCCTCCTGCCCTGTCTTTATCTTAAGTCCTCTCTCCTTCTTCCAAATTGTACCCTTTCTATTGTCTCATCATGACCTGTTTTGTAAACCTCTTATACTATCCTTAATTTTAATTCCTTTCTTGAACAAAAATCAACCCTTCCAACATACTCTCTCACAACCAAAAATGTATTATTATTTAGCCTGCTTTTGGGGTTAGTTGTCTTGTATACAAGACAAAAACATTCTACATTCTACATCTTGTGCTAATGAGGGTGAGTTATTGCCCAATTTATAACACAGAGGGGCCAGCCACAATCACAATGTGAATTAACTCTTTCGTGCCCTCTCAGTTCTCCCCTGTATCCCTACTTTACTGGGACTGTCTTCCCCCTCCCCACTGACCTCCCTACACCTTACTCCCACCCTTGTCCATATCATCTTTCAAAAGAGATCTTGTCCCCTTTTCATTAATTAATGTGTATCATGCCCTACCCCAGTGGGCCTCAAAATCAGCACAGGTAGTACTAGGAGAATCAATTCCCAGATCCTCAGCATCCATATGAGCTTTTTACTATAATTGTTCCACCTGAGAAGGAGCCTGTGGTCCAGGTGTCCTGCTGATTTTCTGTTCCCATCTCCCCTTTCACAGGCACCCTTCACCCATCAAGTGCACCTGCAGTACATTGCAGTCCTACAGTGTATTGTCAGATTTAAAACCCTCTGAGCTACCCAAGATAAAAACAATTTGAAATAGTGGTGCTGAGACTGCACAATTCTGATGACTGGGTAAAAAAATCTGATTTTAAATCAAATGGTTTCCAATTCTGTTGAAAGAAGACTCAATTGATTTGTTAGCTGCTAGTGGTAGATATGATTTTGTTAGAATATATCTTGAAGAAGTGAATAGCTTTCCCAAAACAAAACTCTTTCCATTCCTATCTATGAACAAAGTTTCTCAACACTTACATCTATAAAAATGACAAATATTATGGAAATTGGAGTGAAACCCTATCTCTTTCTAACCATAAGTAATATTTCTCCATGAATACATAAAATAACTTTTGAAATGCCCCACTCATTTCATTAAGAGATGCAGTTCTAACTGCCAACCTTTTGGTTAGCAGCCAAGCTCCTAACCCCTGTACCACCAGGGCTCCAAATAACATTTTATTTTTATAGTTAATAACTATTAAGACTTACAATGATGTTGAGGATCAATTGAAAACTAATAATAATTGCAATGATAACTCATTGTTTAGACCCATTGGTAAATTTTTAAATATTTACAGTCCTACAGGAAATAAAGGAAATAAAAAAATAATTTTAATTTATATACATACTTTTGTTTCAAAAAATACTTGAGGCAGCCTCTACTTTCTAATCCAGCCCCAAAGTCCACCCTAGAGCTGCAGGCTTGTCTCTTATGTCTCCTGCTCCCATCTGGTTCCATGTGGAGATGATCATCTTATGGGCTAGCATTTGGAAGTCCTGTGGATTGAATTGTGTCCCCCCAAAATATGTGTTGTAAATCCTAACCCCTACACCTGTGGATGTGGAGCCCTGGTGGCGAAGTTGTTAAGAGCTCAGGCTGCTAACAAAAAGGTCAGCAGTTCAAATTCACCGCCGCTCCTTGGAAACCCTATGGAGCAGTTCTACTCTGTCCTATAGAGCTGCTGTGAGTCGGAATCGACTCAACAGCACACAACAGCAACAACACACCTCTGGATGTAATATCATGTAATGTAATCACTTTCCATAATGCAATCTAATGTTATGTTAATGAGGCCATACTCATGTAAGGTGTGTCCTAAACCTTATCACTTCTGAAATATAAAAAGAGCAGATTAGACACAGGGACAAGCATATATTGGAGAATACAGATGCCATATGAAGATCACCAAGAACCAAGAAATGCCCAGCGCTACCGATAAGGAAGGAATCAACATGGCCGAGACTCTGATTTGTACTTTTAGCCTCCAGAACTGTAAGAAAGTAGATTTCTGTTTTTCAAAGCCACCCATTTGTGATATCTGTGTTCCAGAAGCACCAGGAAACTAAGACAGCTCCCCCCTGGACATCTGGAGATCCTCTGGTCAAAACCTGGGCAATCTCCCACTCCGTAGCCCTCCTGCTAATATCCTTTTTGGTTTTTCTAGAAACATCCAAGTGCTGCAGTTTTTCCTCAAATGAATGACCCAATCAATGACCTCAACCTTCAGAAAAGGGCCTGGTCTGGTCTATAAAACCAATAGCATAAAAACACAGATAAATATACTATCCCAACAAAAGGATCACCTTCGCGTAGAAGTAGAGAGATAGTTTTACCGATTTTTCAATTCCCAACTTAAAAAACCCCAATCTCTTAAAGAATATATATAACATGAGAAAAGCACGTGAACAAGTGTAGGTATAAACGTAGTTGCTGAGGGCTATGAGATGCAAGAATGGTCAAAGGAGTAGAAGGAAGGCAGAGAGGCCTTTTTTTTTTTTTTTT